AGGCTTAAAAAGTGATATCTCTAAAGAAGATTTTGATGTCGTATTCCGATTGGCTATTAAACACCGTCCTCCTTTAAACACAGTAATTTTACAAACCGCCTTTGAACTTCTTCAATTAGATCCGTGTGAAGTTGGTAAAATGGATATAGCCGCATCTTCATAGCGGCTATAACTGTCTCCGTGGCGACGCTAATATTTTCCTAGTAATCACTGGGAATGTTAGCACAGTCCACAAATGTGTGGTTGGCTTCTTGAGTGATCTCCTGTTGATTTGATTTCATCGCTAGTTATATATATATATATATATATATATATATATATATATATATATATATATATATATATATATATATATATCATACTGTATATCATTTTTTTTTAAATTCAATTTTAAAATTATTTACCCTGGCTCGCCACTGTTATTTTAATTTTTTTATAGAATTTATTTGAAATTATGCAAAATTGATCGTAGATGGAAAAACTTTGATAATTATCTGTATTTTGTTATACTGAGAAATAAAGATGTTTAAATTAACAAACTCTTATAAAATTATTAACTTATAGTTTAATTTCAACAACTCATCATTGGAAAATTGAACAGATATTAAATATCTTGAAGAAAAATAACTTACAACCTATCCTACTACACTTACTAAAATTGAAACTGTTGTCAAAAATTTACAAAAAAATCAATATATCAGTATAATTTAATTAAGGCTATCACTTAGCCATTGATGAAAATTACTAAAAAAAACTAATTATAACTATATTTACATTTGTCAAATTCTTTAAACTAACAAATTGATAAGAATGCCTTTTATTCTCTTTAAAAAAATACTAGTCAATGCTTTTACAAAATAAAATGTTTTGTATATGCCGTACTCACTATCTCGTTATCACTACTATTATCTCCTTTTTCTTGGGTTTCTGGTCTTACATCATTCGCCTACCACCTTTCTAGTACTCTTCATTTTCTTATACATGTTTATAGTTCTTATAATCCTTTACAAAATATCTTCAAGTTTGCTTATTTAAATGATTCTTATCCCTTTTAATTTACAATCCTATTTTTTTTTAATTACTGACATTTTTCAAATTTCAAAAATTGACAATCCATCATACTCTGATCATTTCTGATATACTCATCTCTTCAATCTTACTACTTTCTTTTCCTATTGTAATTCTTGTTCTCCTTCCTTCTTCCTCTTCTTCTTCTTTCTGTTTCTCTTCATTTTTCCCTTCATTGCTTTCTTCACTTTTCCTTTCAAACGTTGTTGTTGACAAATTCTGTTCTCCTATTCGTGAACTGTCTCCCTGTCCTACATCTAGTCCAATTTCTTCTGTTTGTCCCACCTTTTTTCCTCCTCTTAATTCCATCTTTTCCATGATAATAGTTTATATTATGTTATAATCAACACTATTGTCACACCATGATTTTATTCATATATACTTTTTTTGATATTTTATTTAATAATATATTTGTTTAACAAATTTAGTTATACCTATATTTCTGTACTACCACTGTACAAAATATGACAACTTATAGCATACTTTTCAATATGACAACTTATAGCATACTTTTCAATATGACAATTTTAAACACACACTTGTCAGTTTGACAGCTTTACCGCCTCACGTTGGGCGCCAATTGTAATGATATCACACATTACCAATTTTTTTTTTTTTTTTATCTCTGGGGTGCTTCCAAATTATAATATTAATACTTTTTATTTTGTTTAATTTTTTTTATGTAATCTATTTGAATTTTGTTTTAATTTTCTTTTAATTTAATAATCAATAAAAAATAAAAAATTATGAAAAGAAATGAATGTGACGTATTTAAAGTGTGTAGGTAGTTTTATTAATAAAACTACCTACACACTTTAAATACGTCACATTCATTTCTTATTACCCAGTGTGTACACACCACTCAACCTCTTCAATTATGACTTAACTTGTTTTATATCCTGTATATACAACTAAATAAATAAACAAATTTTCAAACCAAAATACAAGATTTATTTTAAACAGTATTAAAACTCAAAATAACAAAATGCCCCTCTATTTACATTCATGGGGGTTATAGTGTCCTATATTATTAAAACTACTCTAAATCCATTCACTCTTCATTCATTCTAACTAAACTATATAATAAAATTAAATTCTACAAAAAAAATTAACAACTTTCAATGTCCTTTCAAACACAACTATTTTTTTTTTAATTAGTTTATAAAAATTACTCACTGTTTATAAAGTGTCTATTTTCACAAGTAGGTATTCTAATATCTATGGTTTATCTGTCCTCTCCTGGTTCTTCTGTATATGTCTCGCCGGAACACCATTTTATATTTTTCTATAACAATCATTATTCCATATATCTTACTACTTTTAACTGTACGTGTTTGATTAGATAAATTTGTTTATTTAGTATGTATTATTAGTTTTTTAATTCAACTTTACCATATATTTTACAAATAAATTTCTAGTACAAAAATTTTTGACATTTTTCTTTTTCTAAATTTCAAAATTGACAATCAATAATAATCAAAGCTAGAAACCCCATCCTTATTACCTTCCCAAAGTCTCCTTCACTTATGACTTTCTCATATCAGTTTTTAATATACAGGGTATAACATTTCCAACATTATTTTATTTCTTAAAGTTATTATTATTATTGTTATTATTATATTATTATTGTTGTTATTATTAATATTATTATTATTATTTGCATATAGGGTGTTTTTTTATTACAATATATATATTTAAGTCATAATGACATTAATTATCAAAAGCCAGGTACATAGTATATAACGTGTAGGCCATAGCAAGGAATATAGTATACAACATGGACCCAACACAGAACCTTGGGGTACACCTAATGTAGCCACGTATCTTTTTGAAGTATGACTGTGGCATTCAACATACTGAGATCGGTTTAGTAGATAGGTCTCACAAAAATATATCAAATCTTGTGAAAATCCAAATGTGTTATCGTCGAGACCATGAGAAATGTTTTGAGTAATACAAAATAAAGTTGTTGTGATTGACAGTCCCATGTAAAAACCGTGCTGCTTCTCAGAAATCTGATTTTTACATGTTCGAAGATAGGAGAGTATAAAGATATTTCAAATGCTTTAGATATGTTATTAATGATAGTTATTGGCCTATTTTTTCTTTGCTAATCAGGGCTACGTACACAAAGCCGTTAACCTATTTTGGTTCCTTTTAATCTAACTATATTCCTTTTATTTGATAATTTTTACACGGCATGATTAGATTAGCCGAGCGAAACAGAAACAGAAACTGAATTATTAAGTTGTTACTTAATTTCCAAGGAAAGTAAACTATATACTTAATGCTTAGCTAGTTTACCGTAAAATTACTAAAAAATTATTGTGGAATATTTTTTTTTATTAACTTTTACTTTTTAAACAATGGTTTTGTTTACAAACTGAAAGGTATCTGAAGCGTGAAAGATTTTGGAGTGCTTCCTTCATCGAGTACAATGTGATTGTTAAGTATATCATCAACGAATGCCCGATGTTCTTATTTATTTAAAGATTTATTTTCGGCGAAAATTGACTTACACCGGCAGATATAAGAGAGCATCTCTTGGCGACGTTGTTAACTCCATTAAATCTGAAAGCTGGCTCACGAGCTAGAAGGTGCCTATCTACTTAGGAGGATGCACAGTGGGCCTACTACGGCTTAAGTACTATAACCTTCCGCATCCAGGTACCTTAATAATCTAATAATTCCATTAATTAAATACATTGCTCAACAATTCACGGGTGCATGAGTAAAGGGGTGTTAGTCATAAATCATAAAATTCAAGAAACAAACAGTTTAAGTTTGAAGATTTGTGTATAATCTGTACGTTTATATTTTTTTTTAATTGTTGCTATAATGTAAATAGGAATACATTCTTTAGGAAAATAGGCAGGCAGAAGTTAAAAACATTTATTTCATTAAAATAAAAATACAAAATTAAAAAAAACATGTGACTTATGTCATATGTCACATGTCACAAAAAACTGATTTATGCTTTTTGGCACTAAAAAACTACAATACATTAAAATGAAAAACATTATGTAACTAAAAAGACAACTTATAAAATGGAAACTACTGTTCCTCAGAATCTTCTGGTTCAGAAACATCTACTAAATCAGGATTAATATCCACCACATCTTTAGCAGTTTTCAAATTTTCGTAAAAATTACAAAAAGTACGTGATATAAATGGTAGCAAATCTATTAGATCACGTTTTTCCCTTTAGATATGAGAACTGGTCCAGCATAACTGAGAGGTGGATTTAATATCAGAGGTATTTTTCCTCTTCTTCTAAAATTTACTGAATGGAATTCATCACTGTCTTCAAGAGACGTTTTAAACTCTAGAAGTCCAAAAGATCGCTTTTCATATCTTAACCAACGTACGTGATGCCAGTTGGGATAACCAGAAGGATCAAGTTTTCTGTTTACTAGTGGTCCTTTATATAAGTGAGAGAAGTCATAAAAGTCATCTTGTGTCATTTCTTTTACAGAAAAGGGCTTTTTTTTCCCAACCTGACGCATTAGTTGCGCCCAATCATGTGGATGCTCTATTGGTCCATTAAATGTTTTTTTTTTTTCTATTAAACTAAGGTCACTGTCACACTCCATATGAGTGTAACCTGGAATCAGGAAATTGTGATCTATAGTTTCCAAATGAGTGGAATCTTGTAAGGCTTTCATACACATTGCAGCAATATTCGTGTTTTTGTTTTGACCGCCACACGTATCTGAATACAGTATTATATGTTTAAGATGGACATCCAGATCTTCCTGTAGGTACTTATATAAATAAGAACCGATATCGTCACTACCTCTTTTTGCTATAGCTTCATGCCACACAAAACATGTGACTTGACTGGTATCACAGTCGTGCATTGTCAGGTTAAGAGTCTATAGCTGCCTTTTGTAAAAGGCAAGTGATGATTGCACTATAGGTGTCGGTAAACACTATTGCAAGTCAAAGGTTATAGTCTTCCTTTCTGGATCATCTTTGGTAACAGTTTTGTCTTTCTTTTTAAACAGATAAGCTAAGTCTGCAAGTTTATGATGATGCGCAAGATCATCTTTTAGTGTATTATTAGTTGGATGAAGATTAATTTGCATTGATAACTTATCACACTTTTCACAGGTGTCTTTATGAGGACGCTTTATGCTGATATTTAATTGGTGGAACTCACGTTCGTATACAAATCTTGACACGGGTTTCACAGGATATTTCTGTTTGTACTCGTTATAGAGATCGGTCAGTGTGACGTATGGCGGCAAATACTTTTTTGTAGAATCTCTGCGTGTGTAGTGACTTTCATACGTAGGCACTGAAAGTATATGTTGCCGAACGTTTTCTATATCTTGCAAGGTTCGTTTGTTTGGTGGTGCACTTTTTCCTCTGCCATCAGCTACTGTAATTCCAGACTGATTTGACAACTTTTTCTCAATTACAGTTCTTATAAATCTTTGAGTTTCATTTCATTAAAAGGAAACAAAATTTACAAACAGAGACGTTGCAAATGATACAAGACTGTATTCATGCGGTGTTTACTTTAATTTGGGACAGACGTACGGGGTCTGGATACTGATTTTTTCTTAATTTCAAGTAAACCAGCAACATAAGCTGTTCTTCTATTATAATCCCCCACAGCCCAATATTCAGTAAAGAGTTTATGTCTTTCTTCTTCAAAAATATTTTCTCTACACTTATTTCTGCAAGGTTTAAGAGGCTGCATGGTGTGTGCAGCTTTATTTTCCTTTGGAATTTACATATTCCTGGCCAGTATTACGTTTCTCCTTTCTGTGCTGTCGTACAGCCCTCGTATCTCCTTTTATTGCACGATTTTTGCCCCTATTATGTCTGGTTTTATTGGTATTGTTGGCAATAACTTGCTCTTCCCTATTTGCTGTTGTCGGTCGTTGTTTTATTTGAATTGTTACATCTTCATCGCTTTCACTACCAGATGAAGACCCGGGTTGTTCAAAATCTGGATCCCTAATAGAATCATCAGAGTCAATGATAATTTACTTTCGGACAGCTTCGTCCAGTGAAGGAGCTTCGCTGCTCTGATTGTCCTCATCTGCAACCATCAAAGAATATCTTTTTAATACCTGAACTGTTGTTTATCTTATGTAAGAGTTTGAACATGTACTTTGAAATACATTTCCCTATTTTGTTGGAAAAAATATAAACTTGGCAACGTTTCTACACTGGAAGCCGAACGCGGCCCAGGACGAAACAAGTTAGGTTATGTTCAGTTACCAGTTTGTTTCAACTTTCCGATTAAATTAATAATTTTATAACTTACCTTCATGAGTATGAGTTTCATTATTGCTTGCTTTCAATAAATTCAAAATTTTTTGTGCCCTGCTGCTCATATTTCACAGTCAGTTTGTCTATAAAACCGAGAACAATAAACTTCTTAACCGTCAAAAACAATAATATGTTGCCAAACCTCTGCTTATGTCATTTTGCAATTATGACTTTTTGTAAAATGGTTTAAGTCAAACAGCTGCAATATACTTCTTATGTGTAAAACGTATCAAGTCCTGACATGATTTTATATACAGTTTGACTTGATCCATTTTAGCAATGCAAATATTTTTATTTTCACATATATATGAAAATGTGTCGTACATAATTCATTTTTCACAATACTTAAGTCTATTTACACAAGCAAGAATGTCTTTTTTCAAGACAAACCTTTTACCACATATCCATTGCCTTGCTATAATACACTTTTGACTTGTGACATTTATCCCAAGCAAGCGCGTTCATTATGTAATGTGATAAATGCATTAACGACCGAAATAAAAAAAAATACTTATGCTCCTTTACCCATGCACCCGTAAATTGAAGTGAATATTTTTAAATTTTTGTTTATTTTGTCAATAATTTAAAATAAAATATAAAATCATGTAACATAGAAAACATTTTATTAATTATATGTCTAACTATTTAATTAAAAATTACAGGAAAATTAAAAAATTTAAAAAAGTAACAGCAAAAAATTCTTGCATTGCGCACTTTACAAAATCCCTATAAAAAATTGATATCTTGTTGGACCTCCCTTGGCTCGTCTTATTGCTGTCACTCTATTTGGCATGCTCTCTATTAAATTATTGATAAATTGCTGAGGTATGGTTTCCCAAATTGCCTGTAACTCATTACGTAACTGTTCTAAGGTTTGGGGAGGCTGTTGACTTCGGTTCAATCGCCTAGACATTTCAACCCAAACATTCTCGATACAATTCATATCTGGTAAACAGGGTGTTCAATCTATTTTTGTAATTCCATGATGTTCTATGCAATCGTTTACAATTCTCGCACAATGAAGACGAGCATTATCGTCAATAAAAACAAATCGTTCACCTATTGCACCAAAAAATGGTAAAATTACCGGCTCTATTACCCTGTCCCGATATCGTATGGCAGTCATTGTCTCATTAGTTAAAATTATTAAGTCAGTGCGACCAGACGAAAACAGATCCACCACCAAAAAGAGTTGTTGGGGGCCACTAAATTTTCATTGTATCGCTGTCCTCTTTCTCGCTATACCAATATTTGGCCATCACACGTATACATAGAAATCTAAACTCGTTGGTAAAGAGGCAGTGTCTCCAATTTTGAAAATTCCAAAAACGGTGTTCTTCCGCCCACCGATATGGGTATGCACGCTGCTCCGCCGTCAGTCTTGGGTGTTTTGCGCGACGTCTAGCTCTTAAGTTACATGCATGCAACCTTCTTCTGATAGTTTGACCAGAAATTACTCGTCCAGTAGCTTGTCTAAAGAACGTGGTAATTCTTGAAGCCGTAAATGTTCGGTTTCTTCTCGCAGTCTTGAGCACGAGTTGTAGCTCGTTCTCGTCCACCCCGCTGTGTGTACACTGCAGACCCAGTTGCTTGATACCGATTCCAAGAACGACTTACGATACTCTGAGACACATTCAACCACGTGACGACTTCTTATAGGGACAAACCTTCCTCTACCCAACGCACTAATTGCTGCAGTTGCACTGCCTCTAATCGTCGTAGCAACATATTCTTTACTCGACTACACAAAATTATTGATAAAAGTAACAGAACAATGTAAGAACACGCTCTTCTGCACAACTGATACTTTACGATATTTAAACAACCTTCCTGAAATTTTTGTGAAAGATAAGAGCATTGACAACGAACAATAAACATGCAAAAATATTCGCTGTGAATACGGTTTATTGATAATACAATTTTTTTTTAAATATGTTTACATATAAATTTCAGGATTTTAGCAATTATCCAGTTCAATTGTTGAGCAGTGTATAATAGTGTATTCTTATTAAATTTAAAATCCTTCATTTAACGAAAAATCTTCCAGACAATTAAATCTTGTTTACAACATCTAATAAATAATATCTATAACCACTTCCGTAAGAGATCTTAATTTCATACGAGTGTCTGGGAACCCAACCTGAAACCACCATGAAACATTTTTCTTTTTACGAAGTAATCATCATTAAAACATTTAACTCGCTTATGATTCTAGTTTCGTTAAGATTGATTTCGATACACATAGCTCTCAAGGTACATAATAAATCAGCCACTCCCTTTTCCACCCAGATTCGTTTTTCGCTGGGAACTAAGACATACAGAGACGTCACAAAAAGGCATTAAAACTGGTATAAGAACTCTGGCCCAAATGAGCTGGGATTCATTCAATTTTTATTATTTGATGTGTAAGCAATCACTTTATTATCTGTATCCAGGTATATAGTCTACACTTTTCCTAAAACGCTCTTTCTAGACCACGACTATCCTACAATACCTCCTATTTCTCGAAGGGGTCAACGTCTCGGCGCCCAACGTCCCGCCGCCTTATTTACCTACCTTTTTACGCTATTACTTCTAAACACAACTTTAGTATTTGCTACCATTATATTTATCCCGACGCTCAACTTTCAGACGCCCTACTTCCCTAAGTACCGTATTAAATACCTTACTCTCCACCACAACGCTAGGCGCCTCGACGCAAGGCAAAGCTCAACGCTGCGATGTATTTTTTTTTTAATTAAAGTTAATTTTCAAAAACAAATTGAATTAAGAAAACGAATAAAAGTTCAGGAAACAATTATACACCAATCTGTATACAGAAAATCAAGTTACTGAAAGAAAATTAATTTACAAAAAAATAAATTGAATTAAATAATCGGTTTGTAATCAAGAAGGCAATTTTGCTACACCCTGTATACAGAAAATATTTTTTTTTACATAAATTAAAATTAATTTTTATTTAAATTAAAATTGTGGGTTAGTCAAGCGATTATGCTCCACCCTGTATACGGAAAATAAATTTTTCAGAAAAATTATAAGAAAAATAAGTTGAATTAAATAAGCGGTTTAAAATCCAGGAGGCAATCATACAACACCCTGTATACGGAAAATAAATTACTAAAAAAAAAATAAATTAAAATAAATAATCGGTTTGAAATCCAAGAGGCAATTATGCTCTGTAACCTACTGCACCCAGGTACCTTAATAATTTAATAATTCCATTTATTAAATATAATATTGCATTCTTATTAAATTCAAAATCCTTCATTTAACGAAAATTCTCCCAGATAATTAAATCTTATTTACGACACCTAATAAATAATATCTATAACCACGTCCGTAAAATATTCAAATTTCGTGCACGTGTCTCTGAGAACCTAGAGAAAGAAAACACCATAAAACATATTTCTTTTCATAAAGTAATTATTATTAAAACACTTAACTCTCTTATATTTCTAGTTTCTATGTTAAGATCGATTTCAACAATATTTCGATACACAAAGCTTTCAAGGCAAGTAATAAATAACCCACCACTTTTGCGTCCACATTCTTGGGATGTGCTATCTTGGATAAATTGTACACACCAAGATGGTAAAAGTTAAATAGTAAGTTAACCAACTGGTAAATACACTGTTCGTTAGCTTAAGGGGTTCTACTAGGTTTGAAACAAAGTATATGTGAAATCAACATAGTAAGGTAATTAACTGTCGAATTGGCGCTGTTCGTTACTTCCGTTGGTCATCACCTCTATACTCGTCGAAGTATTTACCTAAGAGGGTGCAACTTGTGTATCTCTAAAATAGAAACAAATTAACATCAACACAATAGTTGACCAACTGGCGAATTGGCGCTGTTCGTTAACTCTGTTGGCCATCAACCTAAATAAGAATGTAAACATCAACACAGTAATTTATTAACTGACGAATTGACGCTGTTTGTTAACTCCGTTGGGCATCAACCTAAATAAAATATATATTGATAGCAAATGAATATGGTCTGCGTTTGAACGGGTCTAGAGTGAGATCTCAGTAAATAGTAACAATTTAAATATACTTTGCTAATTATTGCATCACATTTAAAGTATGAAAAATATAAAAGAGTTTAAATATGAATTTGTATGTTTTATTTATCAATTTGCACCAAACTTTGCTTTAATTAACATTATCACGACGTTGGTATATAAATTATCAATTTATTAGCTAGACGATCACTTTTACTACTAGAGGAAAAAAGGCCAAATACAGTAAGTATACAATTTAAAATAAAATGAACTTGTGAGGTAAATAATAACATTTCAGAGAGTAAAATAAAATAACGAACAGAATAAATAAAGGGGTGCCGGGGATAGGGCCGTAACAGCTGTATACGGAAAATAAATTCTCTTTACGGAAAACTAATTTTCAAAAGAAATTTACGATACTCAAGCATATGAGAAATAAGCCGAAGCTATAGCTAATAACCCATCCTATGCTAAAATAACAACAAAAAACAGATTTTCATTACTTACAACGAAGGAGAATTTTCCCTCCCTTCCAGATACAAATACTAGCTCTAGAAGTCAAAATATTTTAACTAACCCTAATAAAAAAACAACTATAATAAATAAAAATAAATTACAAAAAACGACTGTTCTGCCTCTTCCTAAAAAACGAAAATCGTCATCTCCCCTACAAAGTCCTTCAATTGAAATCTATCAGAGTAGACCCTCCTATCCCTCTCAACCAATAACCCCCAACCCCTATAGGGAAGAATATTTAAAATATAAAAACAATAAAGAATATATAATCGAAAACATTATACAGTGTGTTCACTCACTTTTAGTTAATGAACCAACATTTAAAGGAGTTACCAATCAGCTTGATAATAATATAAGAGACAAAATATCTACAATCTTAGAATCAAATAGCGATATGGATTTCAGTGACAATGAATCCGCTAAATCCTCTTACTGAAACATTATCAGTTTTGCAGTGGAATTCTCGTTCCATTGTAAAACAACGCCCTAATTTAATACATTATTTATCAAATAATAAAGTAAATGTTATTGTTTTATCTGAGACCTGGTTTAAAAAACACAGCAATTTTTATATCAAAGGATACAATTTAATTAGTAAAGATAGAAAAGACGAACACGGAGGAGTAGCTATTCTCATTTCTAAAAACATCACATATAAAGAAATTCAAATAAACACGTTATATAATAAAAAAATTGAAGTGTGTGCAGTTGTTCTTGAAAAAACAAATTTAACAATAGTAAGTCTTTACAACTCATCAAAAAATAACAAAATTACTCCAAATGAATGGGAAAAATTATTATCATTTTTTCAACCTCCCGTACTTATATGTGGCGATTTTAACTGTCACCACACTTTGTGGGGAAGTAGCCTGAATGAATCTAGTGGTAATTCTCTTGTTGACGCAATCGATAATCTTAACTTAATAGTATTGAATGATGGATCTCCTAC